TCAGTCAGCGTGAGGGAGTTAACTTCTTCCAGACCTTCCCCCCGACCCCGAAGATGACTACTCTTCGGGTGTTACTGCACGTAGCAGCACAGCGAGACTACGAGCTGCACTCCCTTGACTTCTCCACTGCGTTTCTCCAGGTGAAAGTCCGAACTGCAGAAGAGACACAAGTGCACTGACCTAGGTGAACTGCAGCGCTACCTTAACCTGCAGATCACCAGGGACAGAGCCGCTCGCACCATCACACTGACTCAGTCACACATGGTGCAGCAGGTCCTTCGGCGGTTCGACTTCCAGTTCTCCACCACACAGCCCACACCTCTTGCTGTTGACCACAGACTCACTGGCCCCTTTCCGGACGAGCCCTTTGAGTCCAGTGGTCCCTACGCAGAGCTGGTGGGCTACCTCATGTACCTGATGACTTGTACTCGGCCGGACCTCGCCTTTCCCCTCAGCGTCCTCTTTCGCTTTGTTGCGACTGGGAGACACCGTCCTGTCCACTGGACAGCTAATGTGAGGGTGGCGAAGTACCTGGCGACTACATCAGGCATGGGGCTTGTGCTTGGAGGGACTCAGCCAGTGGCGTTGACTGGTCACTGCGACTCTTCCTACGCTGACGACGTGGAGACTCAGCGCTCGACTCAGGGTTACTACTTCAGTCTGGGAGCTGGTGCTGTGTCGTGGAGGTCTACACGGTCGTCGTCTGTGGCTACTTCCAGTGCAGAGGCAGAAATCTACGCTGGTGCCATGGCGGCACAGGAGCTTCGCTGGTTGACCTTCTTGCTCGCCGACCTTGGTGAGCGGCCTCGCTCTGCACCGACCTTGTACGCTGACAACAAGGCCATGATCCTCCTCTGTCGAGAGCCTCGACTGGAGAGCAGAGGGAAGCACATTGACGTGAGGTACTTCCTCCTGCGAGAGCTGCAGCGACGCGGCCAGGCACGCCTGGACTTTGTGGCCTCAGAGGCCAACACTGCCGACGTCTTCACCAAGGCCCTAGCGCTTGGTGACCACCACAGGTTCTGTGTGCAGTTGGGGCTTGTTGAGGTAGGCCCTCGGTTGCTGTAGTCTTGTTGCTTGCTCTGCTTGTTGTGCTTTCCTATTTATATCCTAGTGAACTCTTGAACTGACCTTGTGGCCGCTTGCTTGCGCTCGGAATTTGTGTGGTGTCCTTGAGATCCACCCTGAGCTTGTTTTGCTTCTTGCTGACTGGTCTTGTGACCGTTTCTCTGCCTTGCTTGTTTTTTATGCCCCTCACTTAGCCTATGGGGGTGTGTCAAATATACCGTATAGCCCCAGATATAAGCGCCGTCCGAATAAGGGCGCTGGCGCTTCTATCTGGAGCCATGCGCTTATGGCGGCGACTCGATTATAAGCACACCCCTTGGGAAACCTGTACTTATTATAAGCGCATCACTGTTTATTTTTTCTATTATCTCTTTTTTGTAAAACATTTTATCTAATCTACTTTCAAGGACAATCACAAGACAATCAAACATTTTGATGATTGGACTAGATCACGTTGGTGAACAGCATTCATTCTACGGTAGCTACTGCAAAGCATTCTAATCTCTAGCATGTCTACCGTTAGCATAGCTAGTCCTCATTGTCTGACTCAGGCTCCGTCCAATTGTTGCCCCAGAAGCCGTCGGCCATGATGTCGTCATCCACGTCGACTTCGTGCGACAGCTGACCCCTCCTGTGCGCCATGGCGAGGTTGTCCTCGCTCCCGTCAAGGGCGTTGCTTATGCCGCAAGTCAGGAACGCCTTCTTGATGAGATCGGCAGGGACTGCCTTCCAGGCCCGGGAGATCCACCTCAGAACCACCTCTGGAGGCGGCTTCTTGAGGTTCCCTGCACCACATGACAACCAGGGGGAGATTAGTTCAACAAAGGGGGGGGAAGCATTTAACGCGGGTTTAGGATTAACAACTGATCGGATCATCCCTGCTGGTGTCAGCCTTTCCAAGCCTTCCTCCTCAAACCAGCTCAGGTACTGCTGGCGGACGGAGGCTTTGAAACTCTTGTTGACCGATACGTCGAGCGGCTGTATCTCCGACGTACAGCCTGCCGGGATGACTGCCGGGACGATGTTGAGCTCGGCAAACTTCTCTTTCACCTCGTCCGTGAGATGCCCGCGGTACGAATCCAGAACCAGCATGGCACTCCTCGCCTGCCTGCCGAACCGGGGCCTTATGAAAGGCTTGATACACCCGTCAATCCACTTCAGTACGCCGTTGGCGTCCATCCAGCCGTTGTCTTGGCACCCCACCACCACATCTGCGCACGCAACAAGGGAGTGTAGTTAGCCTCTGATGACTCAGTACAAGCACAAAAATGTAAATAGACAAGGATTCTTACCCGGCGGGAAATCCCCCTTCGGCACCGTCTTGCGCTTGAAGAAGACCCATGGTTTCAGCTTCACCCCGTCAGCCGTGCACGCCAACATCACGGTGACGCGCTGCTTCTGGTAACCAGCGCTCCTGATGGGCACCGAGCGCACACCCGTTTGATCCACAGTGGTGCTGGCGGGCATCTCCAGCCACAGCGGCGTCTGGTCGGCGTTAATTATCCACGTCGTCTCGATCCCGCGCTCACGACGGTTGTTGCGGACGAACCCCCAGAAGTTCGCGCACTGCTCCGCGACATCTGTGAAGCAGACGTAAGTGGGGGGAACACGGTAGGGAGATTAAGACAGTTGTTACCGTACAAAAGATATTACGGTGGTGGGTCGCGTATGTTACTAAAACGAAGAGATACACTTACGTGCGGCAGTTTTCTGTGCTACCTTCGTCTTCATGCGGACGCTCAAATTCCAGCGCCGGCGAAACCGATCCGACCACCATTGACTACCCTTCCACTTGACGTCGGGGAAGAGAATCTGCATGAATTCCTTCGACCACTCCTGCAGACGACCGACTGAGACGGCGCATCCCTTGCGCCGCCATTCAAGAAGCCTCGCATAGACCTTAAGCTCCATAGGCCTGTACCAAGAAGCTCGGCCGCGACCGTGCATCCGCATCCGTGCGCCGTGAGCGTCTTTCAGGACGGCCGCCTCCCTCTTCCACTGCGTCAAACACTTCCGGTGGATGCCGGACTCACGAGATAGAGCGCGCACCGAAACCGCCACTTCTAGCAGCGCGAGCCACTTCAGTTTTTCCTGGGCTGTGTATGCCTTTCGCTTGTGCTGCGTCATCTTGTGCCTGGGAGAGGGGGGGCGGGCATCACGGTTCTGTGAAGAAGGGTGGGGACGCTTGCGGTTAGTCGGTGGATAAGTCGGTATCGGCAATTTTTCAGGAAGGCCATCGCGCGACCAGTATTCGACACCGTCGTCGTCGTCGCCGCCCGTGGCGCCCTCGGGAAACGTATCGGCCTCGGTGCCCGCCTCGGTGCCACCCTCTGTGCCGGTCTCGTCGTCAGCCTCGGTGCCCTTGTCGCCCTCAGCGCCCTCGGCATCCACATCGTCGTCAGCGCCCACGGCGGATTCATCCCACGCGCAGTCTACGGGCTCGCCCCAGCGTGGCACCGGCGCAGGAGCCTCGATGTACTCATCTTGAGGCCTGTCCCTGACAGGTTCTTCTAGCCACTCGTTGAAGGTCGCAGGGAGATGCTGGCAAAGCTGGAGCACGGGCCGGTTGCCCAAGGTTTCAAGAGGAGGAGGATTCGGAGGAGCAGGAGGCGCGGGAGGCGACGGAGGAGCAGGAGGAGCAGGGGGGACAGGAGGCACAGGAGGCGCTGGTGGCTCGGGGGGCTCTGGTGGGGCACGGCAGTACCATCCGTCAGCGGTAACGGTAAACGCACGCCTCGTAGGCTTCTTCTTGAAGAGAAAATGCGTGCCAGAGAATTCCGCCATGGCTGAAGCAGCCTGGCGGGAGAGGCATGAAAACTGAATCCGAATGAGGAAGAATGAGGAATGAAATGAACTTGGAGGGACCCCTTCGCCTTAGCGCCTCGGGGTCCTCGTCGATGACCGACGGGAAACCCCCGCCTAAACCCGCAGAGGACCATGCGTGGCGTGCACGACGCTGCGTTGGCATGGAAAATTCCACCACCTTCTAGTGGCTTCGGGTGGAATTTGCCTGCATGGCAACGTATCCCGCTGTGATTGGACCGCATGGCAGGATTTGCGTCAGCGCGGGCAGAAAAGATTCCCCCCCCCTTCTAGAGGGTTCGGGTGGAATCGGCTGCCGTGAGGCGCATGACAATGCGATTGGGCCGCACGGCAGGATTCGAGTCAGCAACGCCAGGTGCGTTGCTTCTGGACGTGAATTTGTAGTGGGAACCCGAATCGCGGTTGATTTCCCCTGAAACCCATGCACAAAACCACGTGAACGAACGTTTTGTTGTGTTCGCCTTAAAGAGAGCTTCAATTTGGTGCCCTTAAAAACAAAATTCATTTTTACCGTCTTATAGGCGCATGCGCTTATACCCGTTACTCATTTACAAGCGCCCCCCCTAAAAAAAACGATTTTATTATAAGCGCATATGCGCTACTATCCGGGGTAATACGGTAATAGTTATAGGCTGTAGTGAGTTGCATTTTAGAGGGTACATATGCTAGGGTTTCCTCTTTGTATCCAACACTTTGCTAGTTCATACATTTCCGTTGTGTTTAGATTCTGAGAATACGGTATGTCTTATATCCGGGCAAGGACGGTAGGTAGTTTCGGAGTCGAGGAAGCCGGGCCAAGCCTTTCATTGTGAGAATCTGGGCTGTACGGGATGTAAGGTGAATCAGTTAAGGTATGGAAATTTGCATAAATCCTTGGATCTCATTAATGTTTGTTTCTCTATATTAGATAGAGCACTTATTATTTTTACCCTAAGCTGCTAAAAAGTGGCTGGTGACAACGAGTGGTCTGTCTAACGAATACTTCCTACTCGTTAGAGTTCTGAGGTCCGTCGTTCCACTCAAACCAGTGCAATCCACGTCGCGCCCAGGAGAGCGGCTTCGAAACGAGGCGCCCGCGGTTTCCAAAGCGTGCAAGCGCGGCTGCAGTGATGACACGGCAGCTGGCGGGTCCGACGGGCGGCGGCACGGCGGCGATCGTGGTGGGAACGGCGCTGGGCGGGCTGGTGGGGTTCTACGTCATGCACCACGCCGAGCTGCGCTACAAGGCCCGTGCTCACCGCGCTCTCCCGCTCCCTACAACTCGCTTACCGTAACCCCGTCTGTTGGAGCAGATTCATTTCGAGTGTTCGTCAGTCACTCCTATGCTTGCCTCTCCCCCAGTTCCTCGCACCTCGAGGTGCCCTCATCACTGTCTGCCTTCCTGCCGGCCCTAACCCACTCTCCCCAGCTCTACCTCCGTGACCCCTCGTTCCCCTTCTTCCCTCGCCTCGTTCCCGCGCTTTCTCTCGTCTGCCGTCTCCCCCTCCCACCGCGCCAAGCGGACCTGCGTGTGCATGGTATGCGTGTGGGGGGGGTGGGCGAGCGACACACGGTAGGCTGGGATGGAGGAGGTGCAGTAGGAGCGCGGCGTGCCACAACGTGGCTGTGGGCGCGCGTGACGGCAGGCCGCGCCTTTTGGCGATTTGATCAGCGTTGTGGGGCTGAGGCAGTGTGGCCTGAACAGCACTCATCCCTATCCCACTCCCTCCTGCGCCCGCTCCTCCCACCCACCAGGAGCGATTGCGGCAGGACATGGCGCGACTGGCAGCAAGGGACGAGGGGGAGGAGGCATCGGCGCGCAGGGAGAGAGATGAGAGAGCGCCGTTGCACAGCCCAGAGAGAAGCTCGCATTGACCTTGTTCGCGCGTGCCCCCCCACACGCATGTGAACCCGCTTGTTCCGTTGCTGCTTCCACCGGCCATGGCTGCTCGTGCGGCATTGGCCTCATTCTCGCACCACATCACGGAGCACACATGAGCTGCTCGCTGCTGCCCATGCGGGCGGCCGTGCGCCGAGAGGGCTGCTTGCGCAGTGCAGGAACGGCACGTGCACAGCTGCCCATAGGTGTGGCTATCATAGGGGTGCTTGCGCCGTCGGTGGCGTGTGTGGCGCTAGATGTAGGAGATCGTATGACTGTAGGTGTAACGTACCGTACATTCCTGTATTAGGAATGATATGGTAAACCACAACTGTAGTGTAGCACGGTAGGGCCCGAGCCAGGTGTAGGACCAGGTGCTACCCGTGGCCGTGAGGTGCTGGAATCGCAAGCGCCATGAGTAATACGTACACGGACCTAGTTATGCATGCCTACCTACCTGCTAGTCATCTTAGACTGCTACGAAAGGCTCTGTATAAACTGCAGCTAATGATACATACTGAATGCGGGCTCAGTTCTGTTGTGCCGTGTTGCCAAGCACATGCATGGAATGGAATGGAGGCCTGAGAGAAAGCGGAGCATTTACAGCAGCGGCGGTAGGAGCAGCAGGAGGGTGTGCACTACTGGGAGCGATGAGCGAGTCCCAGCACAGCATCAAGGCCAGTAGTGCGCACCCCAATGCCCTCACCTCCTGCCCCTCCCGCCCCCGCACTTGACCCCCCTGCTGCACCACCTGCCACCTCTGCCTTTGCCTGCATGGCTTGCTGCTCCCCTGCACCTGAGGAGAGAAGTGTGCACGGCACAGCGGGTACAGGGGCAGGGGCAGGGGCAGGCGCAGGTGCACGCGCAGGCGCAGGGGCAGGAGCAGGGGTAGGGCCAGGGGCAGGGGCAGGGGCAGGGGCAGGGGCAGGGGTAGAGGCAGGGGTAGAGGCAGGGGCAGGGGCAGGGGCAGGGGCAGGGGCAGGGGCAGGGGCAGGGGCAGGGGCAGGGGCAGGGGCAGGGGCAGGGGCTGTAGGTGCGGTAGGGGCAGGAGGGGGTGGGGCAGGTGCAGGAGGAGAAAGAGGAGGCGACGGGCAGGAGTGGAGAGGGGGGGAAGTGGTGAGATGAGGGTGGGTGTGAGGGGATTCGGGTGGAGTGGACTCTGGTGACATGGCTGTTCCACCATTCCCTTGCTCCTCTTCTCCTTGCTCTGGGCGCTGCACCGCCTTGAGCCCAGCTACATCAGCGTGGCAGCCCCCATCGCCCCTCTGCACTGCAGCAGCGCCTTCCGCAGCACGGCACGCACTTAGGGAGGCATCATCCAGGGGGCCAGTAGCAGGGGCCACAGCGGCAATGCCACACGCACTGTGATCCAGGGCGGTGGGAGGTGCAGAGGTGGAGGCGGGACTGGCCAGTGCAGGGGGAATGGCACAGAGAGCAGGGGGGGAGGCAGGCGCAGGAGCAGAAGAAGTAGCAAGAGTAGCAGGAGCAGTAGGAGAGGGAGCAGCAGGTGCAGAGGGAGCAGCAGGAGAGGGAGCAGCAGGCGCAGAGGGAACAGCAGGAGAGCTAGCAGCAGGAGCAGAGGGAACAGCAGGAGCAGGAGGGGGGAGTGAAGGTGTGTGTGGCATGGCAGCGAGTGGCACAGCAGTGGCATCACTGACAACCCCATTCAACATGCCAGCCTCCAACCCGCCCTTGCTCGTCTCTGCCCTCCGCCCATGTGCTTCCACACACCATGCCCTGCTGCCACCACCCTCTGCCTCATCACGCCCTCCCGTGCCACCCACACCACATGCCGCCACACCCATGCACTCCTCACTGCTGCTTCGCGTCTCCACTTTCTCCTTACCCTCCCCTTCTCTACACCCCTTTCCCTTTACCTTAACCACATCCTCCGCACACTGATATCCTTCGTCCACCAGCCTACCCTGCCCTCCCACCACCTCTTCCACCGCCCGCTTGCCCACTTTTCCCCGTCTCTCTGTATTTTGCTCCCCGGCGTCACCAACTGCCACCCTGCCGGCCTCACGCTGCTGCACCTCTGTGCCATCCCGCCTTTCAAGCCCCTCACCACCACCACCGCTCCCCCCTGAGGTTTCCACCGCTTCTCTTCCACCCCTCCCACCACTGCCACCTGCTGCCCCGCACGCCTCCCTACTGTGTTCCCCTGCCTCCCTGTGTCCTCCCTGGTTCTGCTGCAACGTGTTCTCATGCAACCCCTCTGCATGCTGGGAAGCACACGATATGCCTTGCACCACCGCACTCTCACACCGCCTGCTCTCTCTCCCACCCTCTGCATGCACATCCTCACATGCTGCCGCCATGCTTGCCCCTCCACGTGCCCTCTCTCCACACGCATCCCCTCCTCTTCCTCCCTCATTCTCACCATCTACTTGCACGGCCACTGCCACCACACCGTCACACTCAACACGCATCTCACCCACCGCCTGCGCCCCTGCCTCCTTGCCACAGCCACTCACCACCCCATCCGCCCGCCCGTTCACGCGCTCACCAGCGCCCGCCATCTCTACTGCCAGCACTGCACCCGCCCTCCTTGCCCACCCGGCCTCGCCCTCGCCGTCACGCCTGTGTGCTGCACGTTCCACCACGCCCACATGTGTGCCTGCCACGTGCCTCGTGCGCGTGCGTGCTGCCACCATGCACCTGCCTGCATGCACCTCTACCGCATCGTCTCCACCCTCCACCCCGCCACTCCCACCCACCTCATGCACCTCACCCTCGCCCTCCTCCCCACCGCTGCCCGCGCCTGCTACTACAGCATGGCCCGCCACAGCCCCCACGCCCGCCACCTCCACCTGCACCTGCATGTCCTGCCCCACCCGCTCGCCCTCCTGCACCACGTCCTCTGCCTGCACCCGTCTCTCCACATGCCCATCCACTGACATGATCCTCTCTGCGTCTCTCTCTCCCACCTCCTCGCCTTGCCCTCCGCCTGTCCCCGTGCCCCCTACCACCTCCTCGCCTTGCCCTCCGCCTGTCCCCGTGCCCCCTACCACCTCCTCGCCGGCCCCATTCCCTTCTCCCTCGCCTTCACAGACCTCGTCCACACCCATGGCATGCGCTGTCCCCCCGCCGCTGCTGCCCGCTGCCAGGCCTCCTCTCATGCCACGCACGCCCCTCTCGCTGCCTTGCACCTCGTCCTCCTCTGCGTCTGCCCCTCCCAGGAGGGCATCATCCGCCCACCGCCCTTGCATCTCGCCCTGCAGCAGCCCCCCGCCACCACATCGCCCATGCCACACTCCCCCTCTCTTCCCACACCCCCTCCCTCCACGCCCCCGTCCCACTTCTCCCCTGCCTGCGCCACCCGCCGCCGCTTGCCCCTGCTCGGCCTGCCATGGCGCTGCTCTGCTCTGCTGCCCTGCCCTCCTCCTCGCTCGCCCTCTTCCCTGCACCACTGCTCCACGCCTGCCCTCCGCCTTCTCCCCCTGCTGCCCCTCTCTCGTCTGCATCCGCACTGCACACGAAGACACAGCTGCCGCCCGCCACAGCCCCTGCAACCCCATGCGCCTCCCTCTCTGCTGTGCTCAACCCTGCTTGACTGCTTCGCCCCGCCCCTGCCTCCTCCCTCTCACGCCCACCTCGCCTCTCCGCCTCGCTGCCACTTCCCTCACCACCATCTCGCTTCTCACCATCTCCCAATCCATCTCTACTCGTCCCCCCACAATTTTCTTCCCCCCCCGCCCACTGTGACCCACCATCGCCCCTCACTGCATCCGCTGCACCCGCTCCTTCCCGCTGCTCACCAACCCAATCACCTGCAGCGTCACCCACATGCTTCCTTTGCCCCCCATCACCCGCACTGCCTCCCTTTCCTCCCCACAACTTCCCAACCTTACCACCCTCCGTCCTTCGCCTCTCAACCCCTCCAGCGCCCACTCTCTGCGCGCCTCTCCTCCACGCCTCCTCCTCCACCCCTCTCGTCGTTTCCTCTCGACTATCACAGCCATGCGTCCTCCCACCACCCCCCGACTCCACTGCCCCCCCTGCACCGCTGCCACCATTGCCATGTGTGCTGCTCATCACTGCCCCCTGCGCACCATGCACAGCCGCCATTAGCCGCTGCATCACCGCCTGCTGCTCTCTCTCTATGTGCCTCCACGCACGCACCAGCGCCCCCCCTCCCTCCTCCACTGCCTCGCCCTGCACCGTGTCTGTCCGTGCTCTTTCCCACCCATCAGTCTGCCGCCCTCCACACGCATTTTCCCCGCCTTCCCCTTGTGCCACTTCCCCCACCAACTGCTGACGCCCCTCTTCGCCATCCCCACTCCCCCTGCTGCTCGACCTGCCCACGCCCGACGCCGCCACACCTGCTGCCGCCATCTGCTCCTGCTCCTGCTGCTCCTGCTGCTCCTGCTGCTCGCTCTGGCCTCCTGCCATTGCCCTGCCTCCGTGCTCCCCATGAATCACCCCCCTCTTTATCGTCACCCCCGCTCCACCCGCCCGCTCTATGACGTCACCGCACTGTGTGTGCAGGTGGTGCAGGTGGTTGAGCAGCTGTAGCATGAGCTGCACGCACAGGGTGGCACGGAGCATGGCGAGGCAACACAACGTAGCAAAGGGCTCGATCGATGGCCACACGAGAGGAGGTCATAAGTACAGGGCGCAGAGAGGAAGGGATAGGTGGGACAAGGCACGATATGCAGGCAAGTGTGGAAGCGGAAAGGTTGGTGATGGTGTGTGCGGGGGTCGAGAACAGCTTTCATACATGCGTGCACTGGAAACCTTAAGCACGGTGAGGTGCAGGGTGAGGTCGCAGGTGGGTGAGGCACAGTGGTGGCAGGCAAGGCAACGGCCACGATGCATGTAGGGCAGGACTCACTGGGAGGTGGAGGGCCGCACCAGTAGGCAATGCGTGCTTCCCCACTGCTGCATGCCGTACGCCACTGCCCCTGCCATGGCGCCAGCACACATCGCATTGGGGGTGAGGCCGCATGTGGGCACGGGTTGAGTGGAGCAGTGGAGGAGAGGTGGTGAGCAACACAAGGTGCGGCAGGCATGAGAGGCAGCAATGCTGCAAGGCGAGCGTGGGAGTGCAGCAGTGGAGCGCACATGCAGGGCGAGTGGGAGTGCAGTGACAACAGGCATGTGTGCATGACAGTGTCCCACCCATACTGTAACCCTCCCTGCCACCTCCATGCTCATGCCACCCTGCTCGCCCACATTCCCTTCCGCACTGCCTGCCACCTGCACTGCACTCGCCTCACCCGTGCTCCTTGCCCTGCATCTGCCGCCTCGCCCCTTCGCCCCGCGCCCACACCTCTGCACCCCCTGCAGCTACCGTTGCCACCCACCCCTGCTGCTGCTGCTGTGCTCCCTCCGCCGCCTCCCCAGCCATGTCCGCCACCTCTTCCTGCGCATGCACATGCCGCTCTTTCTCGCCCTTCTCCCTCTCCTCCTCCTCTTCCTCCGCCTGTTCCCGCAGCCTCTGCTGCTGGCAGTACACAGCAACTTCTGGGAAGATGCGCTCCTCAATGTCCGCCAGCTGCCGGTCGTACCTGCAGGCGCGGCATGGCATGGCATGGCATGGCATGGCATGGCATGGTATGGTGTGGTGTGGTATGGTGGGTGGGTGGGGAGGATGCCATGGGGGCGATGGGTGGATCAAGTGGAGTGGATGGAGTGAGGGGAAGCACTTGTTAGAAGTAGAATTGAACAGGATGTCTAGTACAGGGGCATACGGCAGAGATATCAACCAATGTTGTACTCCCTAAAGAGTACCTCAGTCTAAGCAACCTAGCATACCAAACATATAACAAATTTAATTTGACAGCACTTAGGACGGATGCAACAGCAGACTGCGAGAGTATAACACCAAAGCAGCCCACTTTCCTTGTCATGATGAACCAAGCAACGAGGTTGCAGAGCGAGTGGACAATAAGGGGGTAGTTAACTGGGATGATGCAGGAGGTGCCACAAGTGTGCGCCAAGGGTGTTTGAGCGGTCCAAATGGCAGCACATGGGTGCAGCACATGGCAGCGCATGGGTGCAGCACATGGCAGCGCATGGGTGCAAGACGTTTGTCACGCGCATTGAGGGCACGAGACAGATAGTTGGGGGCGTGCTGGATGTGGGGGGGAAGGGGAGGGAGGATGGGGGCGAGGAAGGAGGGAGTGAAGGGGGGAGCGAGTGAGGGGGAGGGGGGGGGAGGGGGGGGAAGCGAGAGAGTACCTGAGGGCGTGCAGGGGTTGGTGGCCGAGGCTGACGTGGCATTCGGGGCAGCAGTTATCCCTGCCGTCCTCCAGCGCGCCCTCTATGCACTCGCGGCAGACTGCCAACCCCTCGCACACCATGCGCGGGGCAGGCGGTGGGGGGGCGGCGGTGGGCGGGAGGAGGTGGGCGGGGTGGGGAAAAAGATGGGGGTTTGGGTTGGAAGGGAGAACAGGTGCAGAGAGGGGAAGCGAGGCAGGGGTAAAGGGTGTGTTTCACAGCAAGGGCAGGGGTGGAAGGTAAACGTGTGACGGGTGAGTGCACGGAGGTGCTGCTGGCGGATCGCCTTGCGCAGCGGGGCGCGGGCGAGGGAGGAAGGGGGGAGGAGCATGAAAGCGCCAGTCAGAGGCGGCGCGATGAAACGCCACCAGGGATTGCGGCGTGCGCGGAGGCAGGTGAGCGGCGTGGGTGGGAGCGGGCGGGAGGTGGGGGTGGGGCGTACAGGTGTGGAGGCACTCCATGACGGTCGTGGCGTGGCGGCACAGCTGCCCGCACACCGGACACTTGAGGCACCGCCACAGCGCCGCGCGCGGCACGCGAATCACCTGGTCGCCCATTAGCCTCGCCGCACGCCCTCGCTGCTCGCCCTGCCTCCCTCTGCTCTCGCCTACGCTGCCCCACAGCCGGTACCACACGCCCGACGCGCTCACGCGAGGCTGGCTGGAGGGCGGCAGCGGCGGAAGAGGCGGGTTGAGGTGCGTAGCATGCGAGGCACGAGTGGATGGAGGTGGCTGTGGTGGACGCCGACACACAGCGCGCTAAGTATGGCGCCTCCTCATGCGCTGCGCGCCATCCACCACCTCGCCTAGCCTCGATGTAACCTGTGGAGGGGATATCAGTACAGCGGTCCTGGTAAGAAAAGTTGCCGCCTGCCGTGACGCATCCTTGGCACAGCCTGGCCCGACAACAGCCAGTGGAGGTTGGTGAAATTTTGTGAAGACTCTTACATTATAACATCCTTAGAATTACATTATTCTCTACTATAACAAAAATTTGGAACATCAACAATAATCTCACATCTTAGAAAAAAACAGATTCCATTTTATTCGTCTCAAAATTTGACATCCTAAAAATATGAAATCTTGCGAATAATCCATCCTACATTAAACATTGTGATACAGTATAACGAAATTGTCACACAACTTTATGTAAAGCTCGAAGCCCGAATTAAAAGTCAGAAGCAAACTGGTGACAGGGTGCGTGCCAGGGGTCTTTGCTAGTTTCCGGGCCTATCTGAAAGTCAGACATGTTTTTTTTCCCCCGTCTGATCGTCAGATGGTTTTGTTTAGCCAGTCTGAGATTTCAGATGAAATGAAACTTCCGGTCTGAGAAATTATATGCAAATAAATCTGAGGTCTGAAAGCAATAAATCCGGCTGTTGATGTTGACATTAACGCAATTGAAAATGAACAAGTTTCTTTCCCGGTGCCATCAATAACATTATCCTTGCAAACTACTTACTCTGTTGACTCGCTACATATAGCATCCTCCTCCTCAAACTCTTCAACATCATCTAAGACCCTTGCTCTTCCACACGGAGGGGTTCCTCCCCTCTACACCTGCTCTCGGGCCTTGGGTTGTCTGTGCTGCTGCTTCCTTCTCTTCATCACGTGATGCTTTCGACGCCAAGGATGCTTTTGCTGCTCGACGTTCTGGAGTCTGCTTACTGCGCTTGCATGTCCGGTGAGCTTGCCCGATCACTACCTCTTTCGCCCACCTCCACTTCTTGCTCGCCCGCCACTTGCCCACCAGCTCGTCCCAGTCCGGGTCGTAGTCCAGCAGGGAGACGCATATGAGCTCCCCCAGCGATGGATCACACAGATTGTTGCGCAACCAGCTCTTTATGACGTTCAGTCGGCTGAACCCGCGCTCGCACCCAACCATGCTCAGCGGCAACACGGCCACCGCGATCCACAGCCGCACCAAGTTGGGGAAAGCTTTGCAGTCGCCCGTCGATAGCATGTGTCGCATTCTTTCGTGGAAGGAGGGGACCTCGTGATGAGTGGTGAGGATGGTGGTGAAGCTGACCAACTCCTTCTTTGCCTTGCCAATTTGGATGCCCGAGGTGGGAGCGGTGAGGTGATAGTAGCAGGGAGTGGGTAAGAGGGGGGGTTGGGTGAAGGAGGGTGGCAAGAAGAGGGGAGTATGTGTTAAGAAGCATTGCAAACGTGGTCAGATTACTAGAACCAGCAACATCACAATCTAGAGCGCAAACATGTACCAATCACCTGGGATGGTACCCTCGGATTCTTCCTTGGGTTTGAAAAGCAATCACAAAGAATGCAACCACTGCTGACTCTTACCCTCCCGCTTCGCACGTGAAGGGGGTCATAATCACTGTCGGAAGAGCCTTCTCCACCGAGAGAACTGAGATCCTGAAGCCGGAAATCGAGGTTGAAGATGAGCTTCGCGGCAAACTTCGATGCCAGTTTGATGCACGAAGGTGCATCTGCGCCACTGCTCTGCCCGTCAAGTTGAGTATCGTGCAGCTCAAACGTGTGCGTCATCAGTGTTCCATCGCCGTCCGTTCCATCCACCGTGACTTTGCGACTCTCGTGTCGGTGCAGGAACTCAGCAAGGTAACCGGTGTTACCACCGAACGTGGTACCGAAGTCGACGTATCGAGTGCGCAGGACCATCGTTGTTGTGTCGACCATCTGCAGTACCTGAGTGCAGTCCACATACGGCACTAAGATAAACACAACGAAATTGATTAGTACTCAGTATATATAGACTGATGGTAGCTAGAAGAGTGCACAATAATTTGTGCTCACTTGGCGGCCTTGGAATTTCAAATTGAGCGCGTTCAGTTCCTTCAAGACATCGGCAAGTAAAAACAGCAAGAAGTGAAACTTGAAACTGGTCACGATCTTGTAACTTTTCCGATTATACTCCTTGAGCAACACGATGGCAGCAGGGAAGACGTCCACGAAGCGTTGGATGGCGTCGCCACACGACAACCATCTGACATTGTGTATCTTTTGCATCTCCAGATTGGTGATGCACACGATTTTCTGAAGCTCTTGGAATTTGGCGTGAACGAGCGACCGAGAATCTCCGCTAGCGACCGCACCACATTATGGACGATGTTGAAGTCGGGGAAACCCAGTGCCGTGTCCTTCGCAGCCAAGGCTTACCCGCACTTGTGCAAGCAACGAAGTTAGTCGCATGTAGTAGGATTAGAACTATACAGCAATGAGTTATCCAACCGGAACACTTACGTATGAGAGATGCAATGGCAGGACACGGGGTGAAGAACTTTCGTTCGCATGCGCGCCACTAGACCAGTCTGCCCGCCAATCATGACACTCACTCCGTCGGTGCTGATGCTGGCAATCTTCGACATGTTCAACAGCACGGCCTGCAATGATGCCGCATCACATTTGTCGATAGTGATGTTAGTGAAAAATTCAGTGACGACAGATCCGTCGCGGATGAAAGTGATGTAGACAATCATATGTATGTCGCGCCGTCTGACCGTGCTCTCATCCAGTTGAAGACCGATGTAGGGGCTGTCCATGATATGGCGCATCTGCTTTGCCCTGAGGTAAGCGACCAGCGTCTCAACCAACTGCTTGAATCCATAACGGTCAGAAAACAAAACATAAGAATTAGTGAGGTCATGGCGACACATTGAAACAGATAAATGACACGAACGTGCTTGCATAAGTACCGATGCCCTTCAATGGCAGATGTGGAGTCCCCTGTTCAGCCATGAACTGGACAAGGGAAACAAAGAGGGCAATGGGGGGCGTCAGACGTGCAAATGTAAAGCACGACGGCCATCAAAAGCTTGATTCGATGCGCATCATCCTCGCCACTCTCGAAGTCTGCAATAGACTTCTGCTTCCTTCGTTTCACGTCTTCTGCAGCCTATGGACCTCAAGAATGCCATCTCTGTGTCCATGGCTGCTATCGACTAAGAGGCCCAGGGTCCCGAGACTGTCTCATCGTGGGTGCGAGGGGTCGGGATGTCAAGAGCGTCAGGGACACCCTCAGGGTCTAGCAGCATGTCACATAGATGAGAAGTAGCAACCGCAAGGAGATCCATCTCGAACTGTCTCTCCTCCATGATGTCACTGCCAAGGGTAGGAACACCCCCGATGGACAGACGACGGACAGAGGATGGGCAAGAACACAGACCACCTGAGTGGCGTAGTCAAGGCGGTGGGTGGAGATAAAGTCAGCAACTGCAGCGACAAGAGCAGATACAGACTAAGAAAGAGCGGTAGGGTGAGTAACAAGCGAGGAAATGACACGGGAGATGGCAGGGCAAGCAGTACGGAGGAAGTTAGAGGACAGAAGATAGGAGATAGTAAGGGACGATGGAGGAGGTAACGGGAGAGCTGGGGGTGCGTGAACACAAGGGGGACGAGAACGAAGGAGGATAGAGTGGATATTGGTAATTTGAGACACTGGGCAAGCACGAGGGAGATAATGTATCAAGTGGTGAGAGTCAGGAGACGGGTCAGGAGATAGAGGGGGAGACAGCTATGAACAAGGAGGAAAACGAGCTGGAGACAAGTTGGGGGTGGAAACGTGGGACCGTAGATTGGGAGAGACGGTGAGGGGGGAACAGGCGGTCGATTAAACGAAGGCTAAGACAGGCCAAGGAGCTAAAGTGCAGAAACAGGCGGTGATGACGGCTGCTGCTGCTGCTGTTGTGGTGGCTGTTGCTGCTACGGGTGCGGCAAATGCTGTGTGGAATTCCCGTGCCCGCGATAGCACCCCCAGAAGCAACACCCCCAGAACCAGCACCCACGGCGGCGACAACAACTGCGGCGACGGCGAAGACTGCTGCAACGACAAGGCTACTGCTGCGACAAAGGCAGTTGCGGCGACTGCGGGGACGACGCCGGTGACGGCGTCGGCTGCGGTGTCGGCTGTGGCGGGGCGGCGAAAGAGCCGACACAGGAGACACATCCCCACGTATTGGGCCTTAAGAGTCAGCACTCTCCGCCATAGGCCCAACCAAGAGAAGGGGGGCGATGCACGACACACCAGACGGGGTAGGACGCAGGGTCAGGGGAGCAAGTGGAGTTGTGGGACCAGGGGGAGGCATGGGAGTGAGAAACGGAGGAGGAGGGGGAATCCGGGTACCTCGGTGAGGGAAGCGAGTGTAGAAGCAGACAGTCTTGACAAAAGTGACGTCAAGAGAGTGGAAGAAACGGTGAGACGAGGGGTGGTAGAACCAGGAGCGACGACGGAAGATCTGAGACGAGACCGTACTGAGCCATGTGATGGAGACGCGGGAGGGCTGGGTGACCTAGGCTCGGGGGTGGGAGATCGATTTTGACGCGCGGCTGCTTGACGCCACACTTTACATCCAGAGCCAGCGCCAGGATGACGACACCTTGTACGCCCATGCTTTCGGTGAGCTGCCCACCCCCGAGCGTCCTACTCCTCTTGCTACTGACACCACGTAGGTGGATTGGTAGACTTACAGCTCAGCTCATCTTGC